CAAAAGCCGTTGGATATAAGGATAAAAGCCATAGCCAAAAGACGGTCTTAAAGGGGGTAAGCCACGTGGGGATTATATATCATATTACAAACTTACACAACCGTCGGGCATAAGTTTGGTTACACTTAGTAATTCGATTTTCTACTGACTTTAAATTTACGGATCCGGATAAATAAAGGGTAAACCACGTGGGGATTAAAAGGTAGGATCCAACCGGGAGTTGATACTCTCTGTTCCTTACTCTTTCTGTTCTTCCCAGCTCTTTAGTCTCTACAATAGCACTCAAAAAATTTCTGAAATAAAACGTTTACTACCACCTTATTCACATAAACCAGTTATTGTTTGTCAAGGTAGAGTTAGAAACAATATTATGGGAAACAACCGTTACTGTCTCCAGGTTGCAAAAGACATGGAGGTGTTCCAAAAAAGTGTGTGACAACGACCCATAAAACCGGGTAAGGAGGTACGGTCTATAGGGATCTCGTCACTACAAAAACCCCCGGACAGGCAACCCGTTGTGTCTGACAAAGTAGGGAGTGTTTCTAAAAGACTACCCCCACTCTAGACCTCCTGACCGATCCAATTAGGTCCTGGAACTTTAACGAAGGAATGCTTCGGTGAGGGAGCAACGGCCCGCCAACCACAAAACCCCTTAGTAACCAGTACGACTTTGATGGTCGGTCAAAGTAGAGTTACGAGGAACAACTACCTTCCTTCCACATGAGTTTTTAGAGTGCTATGTACCGGGGTAAGTAAGAAAAAGGTAACTGTGCCTAGTCAGGCAGGACCAGGAAACGTCTTTTTGTCGGGTTTTCGGTACTACCAAAGGTGGGGGTACAAAGTGTCATCCATTACCACAAGAAAACCTACGGTTGAGTCGTAAAAAAGAGGAGGTTTGTGCGGATCAACTCAAAAATGGTTTCAAGAATAAAACGCCAAAGGTAGACTGGATAGTGTAAGAGGGTTAGGAGAAGACCTAGTAGATTTACGAGAGATACGTTTGAAGTCTGCCCGACCTGTACATGACCGAAATTCGTCCCCCTGGCAGACCGTTGACGTCCTAAAACTCAGGGACCGCCGCATCACACAATGACTACCATTCGGAAAACAATGAAACAAGTGTCGAGAGACGGTCCAGTAACTGATCCAGGGGGGCACACCAAAGACCCTAAGAAACGAGTGGCAAGAACGACTAGTAAAAACTGGGGTTCCCACTCTAGAACGCACCGCGGGTCTGGTCCGCCGTCTTGCTTAGGATTTCCCTGCCCGTATACTAAAAGTACCCTCCCGTGTGTTTTGGCAGTGGGGACGACGCGCCGTGTTATATATATAGTTTGTCGTTCCGGTTTGTCGTTCCGGTTTGTCGTAACGCATTTCTTGTGTGTGAATAGTCTTTTTATGTATGTGTTTATTTCCCGGTTGTATCTTTGGTGGAAAACTTTGTGTAACAAAGCCGCACAGTTGTGTTTGTGACCATTTAGTGCTTCGTTCGCCGTGTGTGACCCATTCCTACCGTCGAAGGAGTAGCAACGTGAGCCTCTCTTTATGCATCTCTGCTCTGCTACTTTGACAAATCGGGAGGTACCCGGTACCAATAAAAGGATACGTGACGTCCACGTAGGAAAAGGTGAGTCGGCTCGATTGAAGTGTAATAAAAACAGGTTGAGACGTAAGAAACAACGTCGCCATATGAGTTTGTCGCTATCCCTTCTCGGGTCACCGGACTGAGCCTGGTACGACACCTCACTTAGCACCAGTGGGAACTCTCCCTCAACCAAGACTGTCGGATTTTTCGATATTATATGCTGTCGTAGTTAGGCCGAAAACCGAATGCCGAAAGGCCGAAAATAGATTAATAGAAATATATATAATGTATACATTTTTTACCAATGTTGTTCAGACTGCCTGATTATGGAAAAATAAATG